TATGTGTCCCCGGCACAGCTTTGGCCTTGCAAAAACAATCGCATATTAAATCGCAATTGCAATATTGACGGAGGGAAAAAAAAATGACGTCGTTCAGCCCGAGTGTGTTACTTCTGCCATCTTTGATGGAGTGATGGCCGCACATAGTGCACTTTCATTAGCTGGCACGCCAAAGACAAGGCGGCGGCGGCGGCTTCCGGGCACAGACGACCTCACCGTGGGAGTGCAGCAGCTTGAAACACTAATTAGGATGACTTTGGGAGACAAAAAATAAAAAGGTAGGGTTGGGGCTAAAGAAGGTGATGCGCTCTAGTCGACCAAAATGGACAAAAGCAGTAATGGCCCAAGTGGCGATGCTTTCAAAACTTTGAAAAGAAATCAGGAGCATTGCCAATGAGAGATGTCCAAGAGGCTGCCTTTGAGCGCAATCAGACAGGTCGCTGATGAGAGAGCCTTTCTAAAAATAACCCCCCCGCGTATGAAGCGGACAGGTACTTGGCAGCTGTTCAGTTTGGGCCCGCTGGGTCCAAGATGTCATTCATCACTCATTACTGCCTTTGATTTTAACCCGACGAGAAGGCGGCCGCCAGGAAACGGAGCAGCCGTTGACCGTAACGCCGCGCTTTTTTTTTTCTTTCTCAAGGCTCAACATCGTAAATTTAACTTCTCGCTTTGGCCCGCCATACCTAATTTAGCCGTATAGCCCGCGCGCAGAAAATGTACAGCTTTAGAGTTGAACTGTAATTTCATGTTTGGTGGTTGCAGTTTGCCGCTTCGAATATTTTACCAGAACATTACAAGCTGACCCGAACTCGGTCGCAACCACCATTTTGGATCCCAGCTCTTGGATTGGCTTGAATGCGATTGTGTCGATTGCAGCGAGTACAAAATGAACTGAAGACGCCGCAGCCCCCGCGCCCACGGAACCGATCGATAGGTGCCGACCGAAGCCCGCTCGCCGATAAAAGAAGCCGAGCCATTTTGCCAAAACGCCGCTTGAGCCGCTGCGATGGGCTTCTTTAGCCAGCAGAGGACAGATGCCGCGTAGGCGTGCGAGTCCCTCGGCGTCCGTGTGCCGAGAAGAGGCAGGATTGGCTACTTTCGCTTAGGGCCCCTCTGCGAGACACACACACACACACACACACACACACACACACAC